TTAAGTACTGTTAATATCTTCACAGAAAATGCTGAGGTTTTTAATTTCACTGCTCTTTTAGCTGACATTTAATAAATGCAGAGGTACATGTCTAGCGTCTATTCATACTAAATCAGTTGTCCCTCCCCCTGGTGCCAGGACCAACAGATCCATCTCTAGGCTCAGCAGCCCTGTCCCCCCATAAGGCTTTGCAGTCTTGCCATGCTGTCCATTGAAAGCCAGTTGGCTAGAAAGCTGGACTTCAAGGACTTGATCAGTGACTTTGCCTGTAAGAAGGCTAGGCGCTGGGCTCTTGGTGAGTAAGGCTGAGCCAGGGCTCGTAATAACTGTTAAATGGCAAGGCTATGGTAACGATATTGGATCACTACACAGAAGATGCATGATGAGAAAAAGACTGAGAACAGGTAACAGGCTCTGATTTAGCTCCACCATCAGGCCTTTTCACTTCCATTTCCGTTGTGTTGTGTTGTCCATTTACACTCTAATACCCGCTTATTTTGTAGTTGGTATATTTAATAAAAAAATCTGCTGCTTATGTTTTTTTTTTGTTATAGCATTTTATAAATGATAATATTGGTGTTAATGTTCACTTTATTTTAAGAGATCATGTATATTTAAGTTATATTTATTTAGATTCATGAATGTTCCATTCAAAAATGTTATTAAAAAGGCATGTACAGACAAAAGATGACTATTGAGGTCTATTGTCAGGAATGTTAGTGTTATATCAAATAGTGAATTCTACTGCAGCAGAATGTTGCTTACAGGTTGGGTTCTGGAGGTGTGGTTACAGCATTGTGCTTGGTTGGCGTGGCCTGGGCCTGGTGGTGGGGCCCAATGTGATATCTTTTCATGGGGCCCAAAATCCCTGGCGGCACCCCTGCTTGTTACTATAGTAAAAGTACTAATACTACACTACACACACAGGAAGTACTCATTACTGCAGTAAAAGTACCTACACTACACACAGGAAGTACTCATTACTTCTGTAAAAGTATCTACACTACTCTGGAAGTACTCGTTACTACAGTAAAAGTACCTACACTACAACCGTACAGAAACTACACTACAACTCGCTTCCCACTGAGAATGGGACTTGGGTAAACTGTATTTAAAATCAGAAAAATGCACCTAAATAATTGTTTTATTAATAATAACTTAGTAGTCACTGGAAAGATTACAAATCAAAATGTTACTTATTTTCTGATTTATTTTGTCTAATACATACTTTTAAAATATATTTGTAATTGCCTGTTAATATTCTGTTGTTTTATGTTATTTAATATAATGTAGGATATTGATCTGAATATCTAAAGGTTACCCTCCGTAGTGCATGATGGACTCGGCGTTGTACTCCAGGCCGAACGTTTCTCCGCTTTGCTTGTTGAAGTTTCTCTCCTTCCCTGAAACACAATAACGCCACTTCATCACAGAAATAAGACATGTTTTATACTTTATGATTAGGCAAATTAAAATAAACAAAAATAATTATACACATTTCAGAGTTAGTGAAAAGAGAAAGGTTGTTTTTTTATAAAGGAAAAAATAATTAATTTAGGAGAATTAAATGAATTACAAATGAGTCAATTATTAAAGTGGGTTGGATCAATATAAATAAATACCTACGTTATGGTGAGTCAGATAAATAATATATTAATTTAAAAAAAAGTTATATCGAGTTAAATGTAATTAACAAATGTTAAATAAATATCCGAGTAAATATTACATATATTAAATAAAACAATATGTAAAAATTAGCTAAGGTATGGCGAGTTAAATCTCCTGCCAAGTAGTGGTATCGGTGGGAGTATTGGTGGGTTAAAACACACAAATGAAAAACTGTTTTAAAAAAAAAACTGTAACAAGTGCAGAGTATTTGTATATTTGTACACAGGGTTACCTTCCATGATGTTTTGATTCAGCACGGTGATGTATTGGTCGCGGTCGCTCCTCGTGTGTTCGTGATGGAAACCCAGAGCGTGCAGGATCTCATGCACGATGTTTCCCAACATGCACTGCGTCCCCACGTACACCGGCTGCTTTCCACCGATTAAGCCCACGTACGAAGCACAACTAAAAGAAGTATTAAATTACTGCAGTACAAGTACTTCAGTTACTACTAGAAATACACAACAGACTTTCTGCCCTTTACCATTTGTTTACTCACTAATCACATCTCCCCTGGATGTTAGGTTATGCTTTCATTGTGAGGCAATGTTTACAGTGAGAACAGCTGCTGAGGTCAGTGCAGAAAGCAGAACAGTGTGTATAATATATATCGCTCAATAATATATGTAACAGGCCTACATTTCACACTTTATTTGTATGCTTAAGTAGATATCTACAAATCGACAGTAGATATTTTTCATGAAACCATATAGTGCTTCACATAATAAAATATACAAGGGCTGTAGCCTGATATTTAGTATATGCTTTAGGAGCCGTTTGTTGTACAATGTGTAGGTGTGGTGGTGTGTGTGTGTGTGTGTGGCAGACCGGCAGGTCTCAGTAGTTTATCTGACATATAATTGGTCAAAAATGGTACATTCTCCGTTAGCCTACGAGCTCCCCGTTTGAGCGAAGGACTATTCCTTCTCAAAGTAGCATGACATTGGATATGCGCTTCACTTGTCCTGGATTGGAATTTTTTTGAACTTTTCCCTAGGAGGAGTTTGCAAGAATGTGCTTAAAATGCATGAAAAACGCACATAGTTGAATATGGCCAACTTCCTGGGGGGCGGGGCTAATAAAAGCAAATTTGAAATATGTCCGCAATCATAAGAGAAATTTGTATACAGCGTTTCGTGAATATCGGAAAAACTATATGAGAGTAGTTTGGAGTAATTTGTGACATGTAAATCGTCAAAAGGAAAATTCTTTGTTCGCTTACGAGCTCATCGTTTGAGCGATCAACCATTCCTTCGAAATTTAGCATCACATTAGATATGGGCTGAACTTGTCCTGGATTGGAATTTTTCTGATCATTCCCCTAGCAGGAGTTCGCAGAAATGTCCTTAAAATGCATGANAATGACTTTACATTGTGGATAAGGGTGGATAGCCCCCATTGCTCTGTGTGTCAAAATGAAAGACAGCCCACACACCTATCAATCATCAAACCGTGGGGTCTTATTTCATTACGTGTTGATTTCTATCAACACGTAATGTTGTATCGATGTATATAGAGATGTACTACAGCAAAAGTATTCTCCGTCGGGACTTCCTGCAACAACACCACGCCGTTATCTTGATTCTGATTGGCCAGAAGACATTATCAAAGATGTTCTATTAAGAAGACGATCACTAAAACATTTCAAAACCGTTTCTAGTCTTCGGTATTTCCAGACAAGTGGCTATTGAAACCAATCTAACTAACTGCTGTCTGTGCAATTTACTCAGCGCGAGTTGGCGGACTTTATTTTGCTTACTTTAACATCATTTTTCATGGTGGGGCTAAACCATTTCTTGGTATGGCTGTAGCCTACCCCACAATGTAAAGTAATTCACACAGCCTCTCCCCTCTTCTCTCTGTGAGGAGCAGCAGGTTCAGCTTTCAGAACAAAGTAACAAAAAACTAAAATGGCATTCATTTTTTTTTAAATATGTCGTGTTGTAATAGATGTATTTATTTTTTCTTTTCAAGAGAGCACCAGAATGTGTATTTTATGTTAGTATTTCAAAAAATCTCCTGGGGGAGAATCTCCCCAGACCCCAGCATGTCAACTCTTTCACATGGGGAAATTGCAGGATTGGCTCCAGGTCGCCCTTTTTATTTCATGCAGTTCAATTTGGATTGAGACAGGGAAATAATNCAAATATGATTGGCGGCGATTTCCTTTCAACGGGGGACAGCGCAAAACGAGAAGCATTTCGGATCCAAGTAGACTGAAGGAATGAGGTATTTGCGGTCACTGACCGCAAATACCTCATTCCTTCAGTCTACTTGGATCCGAAATGCTTCTCGTTTTGCGCTGTCCCCCGTTGAAAGGAAATCGCCGCCAATCATATTTGCCAACTGGGCAAGACATTTTTCTGAGGTGGCAGCTGCCACCCCGTAAAACCGCCACTGATATACACACACCAATTGTTTAAAATATGGACAAAAGTCATGGAGTTGCATGATGGGTAATGTAGTTTCAAAAAGGTGTTTTGAGCTCAAAGTCAGGAAATATTGTCTACTGCTGCTTTAATTTTGACTATTTCTTTTTAAAAATATGTCAAACACATCCTTCAGCTTTGTGCAATAAAACCTAAGAGTTACAAGTTAAAACTACAGCAATAGTAAGTTGAATTTACATGTTTCTCTCACCAACAACACAATGTCTCCCTCCAACACGGCATAGTCCTTGGTCATCAGCTCTGTCAACATTTAGAAAAATCTCAATCAAAAACAGACTGCCCTCGTTTGTTAAAGCTGTGAATATTAAATGCAAGGCAAGTTTATTTATTTAGCACCTTTCAACACAAGGCGCTTTACACAAATGAAAGACATTCAGACAAAGGCATTTAAACAGTCATTTAAAAGAAAAGATAATAAAAGAAACAATAATATAAAAAATACATTAGTAAAAGTTACAGTGCAGTTTAAGATATGAATAGTTCACACAGAAGTCCTACTTTACTGATGAGTTTCTTTAAGGTTTCTCTGAGCTGTGTACACTTGTATGGCACATGCGTCCCGAGCAGCATACACAGAGAAAACCAGCCAGGACAGAGTCCCCACTGATTCCCTGGGGTTACTAGCCCCAAATGTTCATTAACCAAAAACGAAACACAACCGCTCAGTTTCAATTAAAAGCAGCGGCAACAAGAAAAGTCTGGATTTAAAAGTAGTCAGAGTTGCAGCGGGCCTGCAGGTTTCTGGGAGCTTGTTCCAGATATTTGGAGCAGATAAAACACTGACCTTCTAAAGTCTCGGGGTTAGACTCCATGTAACTCAGCACTTTGGTTATCCAGTCGTCCTGAGCCGCTGTAAAAATACATTTAAATGCATTCAAATTAAATTAAAAAGCACACATCTGGAAAAGTGTGACTTATTGATGCAACTAGACTTAAATTGAACACAAACGTACCATCGTTAGCCTCACGTAAAGGGCTGGAGGCGACTAAAACAACAAGAAATAAAGTAGTCAATTCATGTTTTGCTTTAAAGTATATTTCAATAATTCTATTTCCTACCATGTTTAGAGGATTGGACCAAAAGCAATGCAGCGAGGATGAGATGCAGCATGTTGTCAGAGGTCTCTCACACACACGCTCTCACACACACATCTGATACTAACTCTGCCTCGTTAGCAGTTAATTGAAATCAGCTGATATCTCGTGTGGTGGCGTGTGGTGCAGTGGGTTGTGCGTTGGTGTTCGGATCAGGGGGTCAGGTTCACAGGCATGTCATAATGTTATCTCCATGTGGATCTGAACCTTCTGCTATCAGAGTTTTTACTCCTATTTATTCAGATGTGTTCAAGTTGATAGAATAAGATCAATTAAAAATACCCAACAATACATGCAATTCATAGAATTAGCAGATATGTCATTAAAGGGTTGCTTGTATAACAAAAATGATACAATAATATTTAGCGTCCAATACTTTGAGTTTATATGTTTGGTTATTGTTGAAATTAAACTATTGATTTGAGCAACTTCAATTGTCTAAATGGAATCAAAGAAACGCCTTGCGATGTATTGATTTAGCAATAACTGTAAATGATATATTAAGTATGATAACAGTGTGCGTCGTATTCTGTACACACTGTGAAACCCCCTGAGAGATTTGCAGAATTAATGATATTGGGCTTTTATGAATACACTTTGACTGATTGATTGAATTTAACTTAAAAGTCATTAGACTGACATTTCTTTAAAAAAATATTTCAGAAGTAGAGAGTGTGTGTGCAGATCAGACGTAGAGAGTGTGTGTTCAGATCAGACGTAGAGTGTGTGTGTTCTGATTAGAACGTCACCACTTTGGTATATTTAAGCAATAGCTCACGACAGGCCGTGGTATATGCTCATTATATCACAGCTAAGGGGCGTGGTTCGGCCCGACGCGTCGACAACCCCCTTGGCTGTGATATAATGAGCATATATCACGGCCTGAAGTGAGCTATTGCTTTTATAAAACGGTTACCAAGTGTGGCAATATGAAAGAAAAATACACACTCTAATTTAAATAGTTTTTATTTGTAAATAATGATGATATGATATATTATATGTTCACCATTTTGTCATCTGCCTCCGGTCCAGCAGGTGGCGCGGTGCAGCGTTTCGGTCGTTTCCGATACCTCAATTATCAACGTAGAAGAAGTAGAGACAGTCACTTCCGGGTTAAAAAAGAAAACACATGGGCTGAAAACCTCTGAAGGTAATGTTATTTTTAGCCTTTATTTACATTATTTAAAAGATTTGTTCCGTTGTAAAAGGTTACGTTAAACTATCGTTATATGTTGGGTTAACTCAATAGCTCAGAAAGTGCTGTTATTCTTTAAAAACTAAGATAATGCTATGTTATTGCTAACACGCTAACAGACGTTTCATTAGAAAAACAACAAAGTTATTTGTCGTAAATGTTTTTATTTACTACTCGGTTCAAATTGCAATTAAATCTAATAACTGCAGACATGTTCTGGAATGTTTGACACGTTACAAGGTATTTTTTATTTATTATTTGTATTGTCATATACACAGTATGACAGGCAGTTGCACAGTTAAATATTAAGAAACTATACAAACACACAAACATATAAGATAAAAACTAGAAAGCGTGCCTTGTCTAGAAGGTGTGTATTATTCCTGAATTTAGTGTTTCTTATTTTGTGCTTCAAGCTTCTGAATCTTACTTTAAAGTACTAGAATAGAATGGGAGGGATGAAACCCTCTGTAATGGTCACACATGCAGAGCACACAGCGACATGTGTTCTCTGCTTTTAAGGTGAACTGGGACCTCTCCAAGTAGCAGTCCACACTCCATATTTAGGTCTGTTCGGGGACTTGAAAAAAAGAACTGCCGGACAAAATGTACTAAAACCACATTGTTAAAATACTCCAAGTAAAAGCCCAGCAATCAAAACCACATTGATTTTTCAGCTTAATATTTTATATTATATCAGATGTTTCTGGATTTCCTGCTGCAGGCTGGTTTAAACTCATAGTATTTAATATAGTATTACGCACCGATTAAAGCACCAAACCTGAACCCCACAATATGTTCCTCAATATCTATATCGAGGTATTTGATCAGAAATGTTATCATCTGTCCGGCAGCGGCTCAGTCAGTAGGGGCTTGGACTGTGAGCCGTAGGGTTGCCGGTTCAAGTCCCCGACCAGACGTGTGATTGTCCTTGTGACACACGTGGTTTTATTGCTCAATCTTAATTAGACTTTTGACCTTTTCTTATATTTTCTCATATCTGTAAAGCGTCTTTGAGCACTTGATAATGCGCTTGATAAATAAAATGTATTATTATAATTATTAAATGTGTTTCTGTGCCGTTTTACATTTTTAATGGTGATGATTTCTTCGGGGTAATATTGTGGATAACAATTATGTTTGCCTGAGTAATTGTGACATGGCCTTTTTTTTTGTCAACCATTCCTTTTAGTTTGTGAACCTTATGATGTCAATTATTCCATCTACCTTTTTCTCTTCAGACAGAAGCTGCAGTCATGACGAGGTGGGCAAGAGCGAATAACGTCCACAAACACAAACCATCAGAAGCGACTCCCTGGAGTCAGCTGAGGGAAGGAGGAAGAGGAGGAAGAGAAGGAGGAGATGGAGGAAGAGGAAGAGGAGGAAGAGGAGGAGGAGGAGGGTGGAAAGAGGGTCTCCCAGGCAGCATTAAATATGGCACCATCCTGCCTTTAGGATCGGCCGTGAAGAAGCCGAATCGTCCGAAGAAAGAGTACGAGAGCGAAGATGTGAACGGCTTCCTGGAGTATCTGCAGCAGAGCGGACAGCCTCTTCCTGGGATGGGGAGAGGAGGGGGACTGGGGGAGAGAGGGGGTTTGAGGATGGGAGAGAGAGGTGGGAGAATGGGAGAGAGAGGGGGGAGAATGGGAGGGGGAGATGAGATGCAGGAGATCAGAGAGGAGGTGGCGACGGCGCTGAATAAAGACAGAAGAAGAGAGGACCGGAGGGTGAAGAGGCAGGACGACAAGAGGAGCAGCATGGTGGGAAAATCCTCTCTTCCTCTCAGACGCTGGGATTCTACTTTGTGGAAACTCTGAAAAAAAAAAATCTAATTCTGAGAAAAAAGTCAAGATGTGCAAAAAAGTGAAATTCTGAGAAAAAAAATCTAATTCTGTAAAAAAATCTAATTCTCCAAAAAAAAGAAATCTATGATAAAAGGCACATTCTGAGAAAAGATTGAATTCTCAAAAAAATCTAAATCTAAGATAAAAGTTGAATTCTGAGAAAAAAGTCAAATTCTGAGAAAAGATTCTAATTCTGAGAAAAAAGTACAAATGTGCAAAAAAGGCAAATTCTGAGAAAAGATTGAATTCTCCAAAAAATCTAAATCTAAGATAAAAGTCGTATTCTGAGAAAAAAAATCAAATTCTGAGAAAAAAGTCCAAAAATTAAAAAGTCAAATTCAGAAAAAATCTGAAAAGCATTGTTTTGTTGTGGTTTAATAAATGAGTGCTTCTCTGATGTAGTCCTGGTTTAAGGCTCTGATATTTCACTCATCTCTCTCATTGCTTCCTCCCTCCTGCAGCTGTGCTTTAACTGCAGGAAACCTGGTCACGGATTGGCCGATTGTCCGGAGGCGGAGCAGGACGAGGAGATGGGTCGAGGCATCTGTTACCGCTGCGGCTCCACGGAGCACGAGGTCACCAAGTGCCGAGCTAAAGTAGACCCGGCGCTGGGTGAGGACACGCTGAGACTCACAGTAGATGAATGAAGAGGTGGTGTGTTTCTGTGTGGGACCCTGAAGGCAGCATCTCCCCTGGTTCTATGGGATTTCTCCATTTTCTAAATTCTGATGAAAAAAATCAAAATCTGAGATAAAGTCAATTTATGAGAAAAAAGTCAAAAACTGTGGAGAATTGAAATTATGAGAAAAATCATAATCTGAGAAAAAAAGTCAAAATTTGAGAAAACACTTTTAAATCTGAGGAAAAAGTCAAAAACTGTGAAAAATGTCAAACACAGTGGACATTTATAATTATGAGAAAAAAAGTCAAAATCTGAGAAAAAAATCCTAATCTGAGGAAAAAAATCAAAAACAGTGGAAAATTCAAATTATGAGAGAAAAAAAAACTGAGAAAGGAAAAAAAAATTCAAAATATATTTAAAAAAATATATATTATGTGAAAAAGGTCAAAGTGAGATTCCTGACTCATTCCTGCACCTCGTTAACAACATGTATGTCTTCATTCTCCAGGAGAGCACCCGTACGCTAAGTGCTTCATCTGTGGGAAAACGGGCCACCTGTCACGTGGCTGTCCTGATAATCCGAAAGGACTTTATGCACAAGGTACAAACACAACATTCATCACATTATATATGAGTTTATTATAAAGCTGTTTAAATGAGTGTGTGTTTCTGCAGGAGGGAGCTGTCGGGTTTGTGGCTCAGTGGAACATTTTCAGAAGGACTGTCCGGAGCACCAGGCCACAAGTGAGTCTCTGCTTCTGTTTCTAAAACTCGCTTAAAAAGAATCAGATGAAGTTAGGGTGACTGTGGCTATTAGGCTTGGGCGGTATGACGGTATTACGGTATACCAGGGTATTTGGAAATACCGTCGGTATGATTTTCAATACCGTGACGTCACAGACTGTGCGCCAAATCACATATCCGTTTCATTCTATTACACTGACACGGAGTTTTGACAGGGACGACATTGGTTGTAATGCAAAGCACGCGCCAGCAGAGGGCAGGGGAGGGCAGTCCGTCTTTCCCGCTCTCAGAGCTCAGCACAGAGCTGAGCTGAGCAAGATGGCGGCAGCATTTGCCGGCCCCGAACTCGGACAACTAGTAAAAAAGAAAAATGCCTCTGTGCCTGTTTGGGACTATTTTGGGTTTACTCGTCGCCAGTGACTTCATCCAGCACAACGAGAGACAGAGGCACTTCTTTGGGAATGTTTAAGACGGGGTGAGTGAGTGTTGACATGTTTTAATCCTATGCAACTGGTTGATGGTTTTGTAGTCGAGGTCGGACGGTTTTAAAAACGAAAGCATTTACGTGCTAAACATTCACGCGAGTAATCCAATGAATGAAATGGAAATAAGGTTTTTAACACATGCACGGAATAATATTGCCAAACTAGTTAGTGAATATAGCAAACTTTATTCAATAAGTCAAGTATTTACTCCCGGAAAATGTTTATGTATGATGATATATTGTTAAGTA